ATTAAGATATATTTTCCTTCTGTTATGTAATTGTGTATATATATAACCATTTATTATTTTTAATATACAGTCCACAAATTTATTTATTTACCAGTATTCCTGGTGTATGTATATTTCATTTAATTAACAGGTCCAGAGCAACTTGTGGTTATGACAGTGGTAGGTATCGAAGGGGGACATTTTTTGCGACCTAGGTGTCCTAAATTCCTACTTGTCTATTTAACATTGATAAATAATAATTACCTTTGTTATCATTTACTGTTATGTACATAACTAGTTACATTCAGATAAATGCAATTTTCCACAATATAGGTATATGGATAGGGCGTTCTGCTTGAAGGACAGGAGTAGGAGACAGAGAGTTTGCTTTCCTGGGGCTGGGATGGAGGATATTGTTAGCCGTCTGGATGACATCATGAGAGGTAATGGGAGCAATCCTATTATCTGTCTCAGTGCTGGAGGCAACGATGTTGGCAGACGTAGGAGTGAGGACCTGATTAGCAGGTATAGGTCAGCAATAGAAATAATTAGAAGTAAGGGTGGGAACCCTCTCATATGTGGTATTTTGCCAAGGAGGGGAGTTGGAAATGAATGGTTGTCCAGGGCAATTGGTGTCAATTGCTGGCTGGACAAATACTGTAAGGAAAATGCGGTAACATTCATTGACAACTGGGACCTCTTCTATGGCAGAAATGACATGTATGCTAGGGATGGGGTTCACTTATCTAGGTGTGGGGTGGGAGCACTGGCAACTGCAGTGGAGGGAGCAGTTAGGACTTTAAACTAGGAATAGTTAGTGGTATGGGTTTTGGCAGGAAAACAGTGAAGTCCCAGTGTAGTAATATTACGAGTTCTAGGGGAACTAGTAATAATAAGAACGAGATAGATATTGAAAAGCCAGGGACCTTGGGTGATAAGGACAGTAATAGGTTTAGTAGAAAAATAGAAATGAGCAGGAAGGGTAAAGAGAAAGGAGAGTCTTTCAATGTTTTATTATGCTAATTGCCGTAGTGCTAGGAATAAGATGGACGAGTTGAGATTAGTTGCTAGTGTAGGTAACATTGATGTATTTGCCTTAACTGAGACGTGGTTTAATTCAAAAAGTCAGGACATGCCTGCAGAATGTCATAGTCAGGGTTTTAAATTGTTCCAAGAAGATAGAAGTATTGGGAGGGGGGTGGGGTGGCATTGTATGTCCGAGATCGCTTGAACTGTTGCATAAAAACGGGTATTAAGTCTGAAGTAACACATACAGAGTCTGGATAGAATTTTCAGAGGGGCATGAAAAACTGATTTTAGGGGTGATATACCGTCCTCCAAACTTAGATAGGGACCAAGGGAAACTACTATAGGAGGAAATTGTTAAGGCCACAAGGCACGATAATGTAGTAATTCTAGGAGATTTTAACTTTAGTCATGTTGATTGGAATTTCTTGACTGGGAATTTAGAATCATACGACTTCTTAGAAGTAGTTCAGGATTGTTTTTTGAAGCAGTTTGTGACAGAACCTACAAGGGGAAATAACCTGCTTGACTTAGTTATGGCAAACAATGAATCGCTTGTTAATAATTTAGAAATTTCAGAGGAACTGGGTGCTAGCGACCACAAATCAATTACATTTAGCATTGAACGGAAGTACGATAGTAGCGATAACTCAGTAACAGTCCCAGATTTTCGCTTAGCAGATTACGATGGGCTTAGAGAACACTTATCATCTGTTGACTGGGGTAACGAAGAGAGCTATCAATATGACAGTTTTCTGAACACTATACATGCTGCTCAAAGAGCGTTTATCCCATATAAAGAAATTAGATCAAATAGAAATGACCCAAAGTGGATGAATAATAGGCTCAAATATCTACTAGGGCATAAGAAAGGAATTTATAGGCGTATCAAAAGAGGTGAGGGTCATCTGATGAATCAGTATATTGACATTAAGAGGGACATTAAAAAGGGGATAAGAAAAGCTAAAAGGGACTATGAAATTAAAGTTGCTAGGGATTCTAAAAGTAACCCAAAAAGTTTTTTCCAGGCCTATAGAACAAAAGTTAGAGATAAGATAGGTCCCCTTAAAAATAACTATGGGCACCTTACTGACAAAGAGAATGAAATGTGCTTGATTTTAAATAATTATTTTCTCTCAGTTTTTACACAGGAAGACACTAACAATATTCCAGCAATTAATTTTTACAGTGGGCTAGAAGAAGATAAATTATGTAACATCACAGTCACTAGTGAGATGGTTGTGAAGCAGATAGACAGACTGAAGCAAAAATAGTCGCCGGGTCCTGATGAGGTTTTTTCAAGGGTTCTTAAGGAATGCAAAATGGAACTCTGTGAACCATTAACTAATATTTTTAATTTATCTATTCAAACAGGTGTAGTGTCTGATATGTGGAAGATGGCTAATGTAACTCCTATTTTTAAAACAGGGGACAAGTCGTTACCGTCAAATTACCGCCCAATAAGCCTGACCTCAATTGTAGGCAAATTACTAGAGTCAATTATAGCTGAGATTATAAGAAGCCATCTCGATAAGCATAGCTTGATTAATGATACTCAGCATGGATTCACAAGAGGCCGGTCTTGTCTAACTAATTTATTAACTTTCTTCAGTAAAGCTTTTGAGGCTGTTGATCACAATAAAGAATTTGATATTATTTACTTAGAGTTTAGTAAGGCTTTTGATAGAGTTCCGCACCATAGACTGTTAAAGAAAGTGGCAGCTCATGGCATTGGGGGAAAAGTGCTCTCGTGGATCGAGTCATGGCTCACTGACAGGAAGCAGAGAGTGTCCATAAATGGGGTTAAATCCGAGTGGGGATCTGTAACAAGTGGCGTTCCACAGGGATCAGTCTTGGGCCCGTTGTTGTTTATAATATATATCAATGATCTTGATGAGGGAATTACTAGTGATATGAGCAAATTCGCCGATGACACAAAGATAGGATAATTGATTCAAACGTAGATGTTATGGAACTTCAGGAGGATTTAAACAAACTCTATTCTTGGTCAGAAAAGTGGCAGATGCAGTTCAATGTAGATAAATGCAAGGTTCTGAAGCTTGGGAGTGCCCATAACCCTAGTACTTATAAGTTAAATGATGTAGAACTTAGCCATACAGATTGCGAAAAGGACTTGGGGGTTATGGTGAGCAGCAACCTTAAACCAAGACAGTAATGCCTAAGCGTACGTAATAAGGCAAATAGATTACTGGGATTTATATCAAGAAGTGTAAGCAACAGAAGTCCAGAGGTCATACTGCAGCTTTATACATCATTAGTAAGGCCTCACCTAGATTATGCAGCTCAGTTCTGGTCTCCGTATTACAAAATGGACATAAATTCGTTAGAAAACATTCAGCGTAGGATGACTAAATTAATACATAGCATTAGAAATCTTCCTTATGAAGAAAGATTGAAGACTCTTAAGTTACATTCACTTGTTAGACGAAGAATGAGGGGAGACCTGATCGAAGTGTATAAGTGGAAGATAGGTATTAATAAAGGGGATATTAATAAGGTCTTGAGGATGTCTCTCCAAGAGAGAACCCGCAGTAATGGATTTAAATTAGATAAGTTTAGATTTAGAAAGGACATAGGAAAGTATTGGTTTGGAAATAGGGTAATTGATGAGTGGAACAGTCTACCTAGATGGGTTATTGAGGCTGGGACTTTGGGTAGTTTCAAATCTAGGTTGGATAAGTACATGAGTGGGAGGGGTTGGATTTGAGTGGGACTTTCACATCAGAGCTTATTTCTTGGGTGGCATTGAAAACTGGGTTGGGCAAATGTTTGTTAGTGGGATGAATTGTAAAGGACCTGCCTAGTATGGGCCAGCAGGCCTCCTGCAGTGTTCTGTTTGGCCAATGTATTTTGTCTTTAAATATATATATATATATATATATATATATATATATATATATATATATATATATATATATTATATATATATATATATAAGATAAGATAAGATTTCGTTCGGATTTTTAACCCCGGAGGGTTAGCCACCCAGGAAAGTCAGTGCGTCATCGAGGACTGTCTAACTTGACTCAAGAAATCGTAATGACACGATTGCAAATAAACCATACCCCCGGCCGGGATTGAACCCCAGGATGCGACCCACACCAGTCGACTAACACCCAGGTACCTATTTGCTGCTAGGTGAACAGGACAACAGGTGTAAGGAAACGTGTCGAATGTTTCCACCCGCCGGGAATCGAACCCGGGCCCTCCGTGTGTGAAACGGGAGCTTTAGCCACCAGGCCACCGGGCCATATATATATACATATATATACATATATATATATATACATATATATATATATATATATATATATATATATATATATATATATATATATATATATATATATATCTCAAAGTACCATTTTTACATATTTTTTTAGCTAACATTTGAGTTCAGTGTAATATATTCTTCACAACTGTAAGTGTATAAGCAAATTAACAGCTCATCTTCAAATAGTTTACTTTAAAACGTCAATATGTTAAAAGTTTACATTCATGAAAAGTAATTAGAAAGGAGAGTTTACATGCTACCAAGATGACTTAACTATTAGGTGGGTGATGTGGGTAGGTAATCAGTCACTTAAAATGACTCAAAGTGCTCGTAGTTAACATTATATATGGAAGACAAACTACGGCTGGTGTCACCACGCTAACTGACTCTGAGAAAACTTCCCCTCATTCCATCTGATGCTACCCTTGCATAGCTATTAATCAGGCACGGAAACGCGTGAAAGTACTTGAGCTGAAGAATTCCATCACTTCCCCACCCCCATGGCTTGTCTTGCATTGTTAAGATCACCTGTCTACGATTGTATTGCATATATATATAATATATATATATATATATATATATATATATATATATATATATATATATATTCTTGAGATCAACTCTAATTTAATACCTTTCCAAAGGCGCGGTATGATCCCGAGAATATAATAATAATAATAATAATAATAATAGCCCGGGGTGACAGTTGAGTTAGCCATAGACCGAAGTTTGTGTGTAGTAGGGCTAGGGTGCAGTGTGGCTCTCGTAAGCCAGGTAGCCATACGTTCCTTGGGATCCTGATAAATTAGCCGTAGGCAGGAGCTGGTGTATAGTAGTTCTGGGGTGTAGTGTAGGACTGGGATGTGGTGTGACCTTCATAGGTCACCTGGGCCACGTAGCCGGAGTCACCGTTGACAGTGTAGTTCACCCTCTCCAGACGACCGTCGGGAAGCAGCACATAGTAGGAGCCCTGGGTGTTGGCACCATCACGAGTCTCCTGGTGACCGTAGTCGTTACCAGAGGCGTCGTCCTTTACTTGCCAAGTGAAGTTGTAATGAGCAGGAGCCTGCGGCAATAATAATATTAACATACAATGAGTATCGGAAAAGATCACAGCCTGGCTTAAATGTAACATACTAATGTCATGTTGATACTGGTTACTTGCATGTTTTGATAGGTACAAAAATATAATAGTTATATTTACCTCAGAGATGGGGACACCGTATGTTGGTCCTGGTACTGGGGGTCCGTATGATGGTCTTGGTGTTGGGGGTCTGTATGTTGGTCCAGGTGTTGGGGGTCCGTAAGATGGTCTTGGTGTTGGGGGTCCGTACGTTGGTCCTGGTGTTGGGGGGCCGTATGTTGGTCCTGGTGTTGGGGGGCCGTATGTTTGTCCTGGTGTTGGGTGGCCATGTGAACGGCCACTAGACTGGGGTTGGTAACTTAGGGGAGCGTCCGGGAGGGCCATGGCTCTCGCCACAAGAACAGCGGAGAATACAACCTGTCAATTGTTTATGTTGGTGCAAAAGAAAATATGAACATTTGCTTAACATGTTGTAATTAATAAATACGGCAGCGGTGCAAACAATCAGAAGCTACTAGAGCCGATAACCCTTGATGCTAGTCAAGGGCTCTTGAACTTAATAATTGAAGCTACTCTCCTCTTCAGATCATATCTGATTATCCTAACTCTCCATATACTGCGTGATCTCTACTGGTTTATCGCTTTTCAATAAATAAGTATAATATTAGTTGAGATAAGATTATACTCATAGCATTGCTAAAGGCTAAACTCATTTTTCATATTTTATATCGAGTCATCACAACACTGAAATAAATAATGGCTCCATTTAATAAACTGCTTAACATAACTGATTGGATAAAGGGAAGTATTTAACCTAACCTCAACTAGAGAGGCTTTCTGTACCTTGATAAACATTCTGAAGAAGGAAGAACTGGACTGATGCTCTGTAGATGAAGTGATCTGTTTTTATACTGGAGGATAGACCATTCCCTCCCCACCCTGGCAATGATGTCGCTGCCAAGGTTGATTGTGTTGTTTGTGTTACGTAAAACTGCCTAAAACTATAAGATAATTATTGTTGTTTACACATAAATGTAAATGAATGTTGGTGCATTCCTCTTATTTGGGTCACCCTAAGTCGGTGGAAGGCAGCTGGATTATATATATATATATATATATATATATATATATAATAAGGAATTCGCAAGAGCAGGCGAAATATACACAAACACTGATCTCTGGCCGAAGGAGACTCGAACCTACGAACCTTGGAACAAGGTACGCAGTGCCTTACCATTCTCACCACACTGGACCAATACCTTGGTGTCCAGCTTGCGCTAGACGTTTTGATCCAAGGCAGCCAGCTTTCAGGGAAAAGGCTTACAGCTTTTCATCTCATCCCCTGCATGCATCAGCCTTACTAGAGATTTTAACAATGCAAGGAATTCGCAAGAGCAGGCGAAATATATATATGTCGTGCCGAATATGTAAAACTGGTCAGTTAGCAAGAACTCATTTAAAATTAAGTCCTTTCTGAAATTTTCTCTTATAAGATTAAAGATATATTTTTTTCATTAATGTTAATGTAAAAATTTTTAATTTTGCACCAAAAGAATCTTAGAAAACTTACCTAACCTTATTATAACAAGAACAATTTATTTTAGCCTAACCCAACTATATATATTTTAGATTTGTTTACAATAATTTAATACTAAACAAACACAATGGAATATATTTTTTTCGTTAGGTTCAGAAGGATTTTGGCGAAATTATTGCATACACAAATTTTCCCTTGTCCTATATGGCAAGATGAGCGTTGCTATTTAAGCCAAGATCGCAAGTTCTGCCTATTCGGCACGACATATATATATATATATATATATATATATATATATAATATATATATATATATATATATATATATACATATATATATATATATATATATATATATATATATATATATATTACATATATATATATATATATATATATATATATATATATATATATATTATATATATATATATATGTCGTGCCGAATACGTAAAACTGGTCAATTAGCAAGAACTCGTTTAAAATTAAGTCCTTTCTGAAATTTTCTCTTATACGTTTAAAGATATATTTTTTTCATCAATGTTAATGTAAAAATTTATAATTTTGGACCAAAAGAATCTTAGAAAACTTACCTAACCTTATTATAACAAGTGTAATTTATTTCAGCCTAACCCAACTAAATATATTTTAAATACGTTTACAATAATTTAGTACTAAACAAACACAATCAAATATATTTTTTTCGTTAGGTTCAGAATTATTTTGGCGAAATTATTGCATACACAAATTTTCACTTGTCCTATATGGCAAGATGAGCGTTGCTATTTAAGCCAAGATCGCAAGTTCTGCCTATTCGGCACGACATATATTATATATATATATATATATATATTATATATATATATATATATATATATATATATATATATATATATATTATATATATATATATATATATATAATATATATATATATATATATATATATATATATATATATATATATATATATATATATATATATATATATATATATTATATATATTATATATATATATATATATATATATATATATATATATATATATATATATATATATATATATATATATATATATATATATATATATATATATATATATATATATATATATATATATATATATATATATAATATATATATATATATATATATATATATATATATATATATATATATATATATATATATATATATATATATATAATATGGAAAATTGCATTTATCTGAGTGTAACTAATTATGTACATAACAGTAAATGATAACAAAGATAATTATTATTTATCAATGTTACATAGACAAGTAGGAATTTGGGACACCTAGGTCGCAAAAAATGTCCCCCTTTGATACCTACCACTGTCATAACCACAAGTTGCTCTGGACCTATTAATTAAATGAAATATACATACACCAGGAATACTGGTAAATATATAAATTTGTGGACTGTATATTAAAAATGATTATATATAAATTCACATATACATAACAGAAGGAAAATATATCTTAATATCACTCACCAATTTGGCTGGATATTAAGTTGTATCATGCTCAGAAAACCTCACTAACTAAATTTATGAAAACACTGGCCAGAATTATACACAAATCTAGAGAGCTTATCTGAGGTTCATGGAGCTGTCTTGTCCATTCGTCTGATATCTCAAGTTATGCAGGAATGCACATCCAACAATTTCGTCTCCTATTTGAGAGGTGTCAATCCAATTTTAACCTCTAGAGCACGAAAAATTCTTCTCATTATATTAACGTTGTATCCAATTCAAAACCAAGATGGCGAGTCCCTTCTGAGTCCCCTTCTGCGCAGGCGCAGCTTCCCGTTTTCGATTATATAAATTTTAAATACAGTATGGCCATCTATTTACATTCAATAACTACTGTATTTTTGGAAAATATATACAGTATTTTCCACAATACACACACACACACATATATATATATATATATATATATATATATATATATATATATATATATATATATATATATATATATATATATATATATATATATAAAAACCACAGCCGTCTCCTACCAAGGTAGGGATGAGCCATGAAGAAAATATTCACTATATTTTCTCGGGAGTGCCATCTATGCCAGACATTGTAATTCGAACTTTCAGGTGATTCTCTGCAAACTCAAACGTCTCTAGGACTAAAGTCCAATTGACAGGTTTCTCCTGAATCCCTTCATAACTTTTATGATTCTCAAACCACAACAGTATGTCAGGTCCCTAGAACCATGTCTGCACTCAACTTGATCTAAAACGCTGACACTCGCATTCCGGATGCTTAAACATGTATATCTACCCAAGACTTACTTTTAATTTTCTAACTTACTACATATTCCATACATTTTCAACATCTGCCACATAGCTCCCCAAGCAACTCTACCATATACCTTTTCTAAATCATTAAATTCGACAAAATAGTCATTCTACCTTCAAGCACTGTTCACTTACTTGCTACACTGTCAGCACTTTACACTTCGTACATCCTTCTAACTCCTTTCTAATGTTTTTTCCCGCAATATTACCTACCGTTTTACCCCTAACTCTTTCAATAATAATCTTAATGTAGATCCTGCTTTGTATACTCAACAGACATTATTCAAAATATTCGCTTTAGTTTCCTATTACCTCCCTATTGTCATTTAACTACTCTATTTCATTTTTAAATGGTTAGTCCATTTGTTACGCAGGCTTTCTCAACTTTAATCTGCAAAATATGTAATTTCTTATCCTCAGCAAAATTTACTTTTTCTCTCCATATACGATACCTTAAGAATAACATAAGATTGCAAAGAAATAGTTCATATACTATTTTTTCTTCCTAACCGCCCTCTTTGTCATCATTTCACAACATATTTCTCTTCCCAACCTCACCACCCTCCTATAACCAAAATTTTTGTTATGCTCCCTATTACTGTTTGTCTAAACATAACCCCGTACCTCTTCGACTTCCTCTGCCTTACCTGGACACACTACATTTCCTGCCCACTAATAATTGCCTATCTTCCACGAACTGTCTTCTATAGTTTTTAACTCTAGGTCCCTTCTACTCACACATTTCTCCTAATGCTCTGTCGACCTGTTACCCTTATAGTAGCTGAGAGTAAATGTTCTGACATAACAATCTCTCATGTAAAGACATGTATATCCAGAAGTCTCCCCATCATTTTTTTCCACCACTACAAAGTCTACGAAACTGCTGTCATTGTGCACTACATAATCATATTTATCTTGTTTTCTTAAAATGAGTATTTCCTATTACTATACCTCTTTCCATTCAAAATTTAATTAAAGGCCCCAATTATCGTTTATTCCTGGCACTTCAAACGTACCTGTTGCGGCTTCTACATTAGTAGCTCACAATAATTATTTTCTCTCTTGGCTCAAAGTTCTCTTAAAATTCTCTTACTGTCTCTCTAAATCTCTCGTCTCTGCAGTATTCTCTCCTCCCGGCTGCATAAATACTAATTTCCCGCATCACAATCTTAAACGAATCCCAATAATTCTTGAATTTAAACAATTATATTCCTCCTTCCATTCCATAACAGAGGTAGATATTTTGTAGACAGATGAGAATAGAATAATATTTTCACTCATCTGTATCTTATATTACTTGGACGACAATTCGTTCCAAAAGAAGCTGAGCTAGCGCTGCCCTCTCCCAGTGCTCTAATATTTTAGTAAAACTAAATTTCTGATCAAAATATGCTCTGAAAAATATATTTATCATTTGCCAGGTACTTTGCCACAAGCGTGGGAAAAAGAGGTTAATTATAATTATACTGGATTATTTATGTTCTTACTGAGTTAAATACATGAATTGGAATTTTTAGAACATTTTTCATTTACATAATTATGAACACAAGAACAATTGATCCAGGAAAATTTCTTGTTGGCATAAGTTAGGTAAGATATATAAAGCTCGATGGTATATTGGAAAACTCGTTCACAAATCATCAGACTGAGGAAGTATTTCACTGTAGGTGACTTACAAGTAAGAAATTAGGGCTGTCCCATGCAACACTGCCACTGAACAATTTACACACAGTGCAGCATAATAATCATTGTGGCGAGTGATTTTTAAAGTGATAACCCAAGTCTTCGTCAGCTTGATGATGTTATTGTAATGCATGTATTAAAGTGCAAATGAATATGTAGCTATGGATTCATTTACTTAAAGAATTTTCGCAAAAGGAAATTTTTCACTACATATTATTTCAAAATTTTGTACTAAAAAGCAAATCCCAGTATATATCTTAATTAGGAATCATACATCAATTGCATCCTCACAACAACACAACCGTAATCCTTCCCCGAGATCTTATTAAAGCATTCTGAGGACCCAAGAAGTCCTGCCTCCTTCCAGATATAAGTGTAACATTCACTGATTGGTACACCAACCAAGAATCTTCTAGGAAATACCCACCCTTCCTATCGTATATATATATATATATATCTGTTGTTTCCTTGTTAATTTGAATCTTCTGAAGAGGACCTAAGTCAATGGAAATATAAACAACAGTTCTTCTACTTCTCATTTTTGCTTACGATCCCAGGTCGATTAAAGTTAGGAGATTTAATGGTGGTTCACTGATTCTAGTGGTTAATGATATATACATTACACTCTAATCAGACGACAACAATTTGTTGAAAATGATCAAGTTTCCGTATTTTCTGGCATATAAGGGCCATGAGCGTATAAGACATACAAGACGATGTTTCCAAGTAGTTATAATGTAACGTTAGTAAACAACTGCTAAAGTGTAACCCAAAGACTATCCTTGACATTGATCTCGAGCATGTAAGGCGCAGGCTGATTTTCCAAGACATTTTGTGGAAAACGTGCGCCTTATATGCCGGGAAAAACGGTAAAATTATTTTCAAAACTATAAGTATACGAATAAACTAAAATAAAATATTGAAATTATTTATTTTCAAGTATCCATATATTAATCATTCATATACATAATACAGACAAATGAGTTAGTTTACTATCCATTATGAGTAGGACTAGAGTGTTGTGTGACAGCCGTACGTTCCCTGGGATCACTGATAAATTAGCCGTAGGCAGGAACTGGTGTATAGTAGTTCTGGGGCGTAGTGTAACCTTCGTAGGCAGGAGCTGGTGTATAGTAGGACTGGGATGTGGTGTGACTTTCGTAGGTCACCTGGGCCACGTACCCGGAGTCACCATTGACTGTGTAGTTCACCCTCTCCAGACGACCGTCGGGAAGCAGCACATAGTAGGAGCCCTGGGTGTTGGCACCATCACGAGTCTCCTGGTGACCGTAGTCGTTGGCAGAGGCGTCGTCCTTTACTTGCCATGTGAAGTTGTAATGAGCAGGAGCCTGCAGTAATGATAACATACATTAGGATGAGGCCTGGTCGCACACCGGGCCGCGGGGGCGTTGATCCCGAAACCCTCTCCAGGTATACTCCAGGTGTGTCTGAGAACGGCTACAAACTAGTGCCTGTATAATGCCTTATAATGCTACGTTGGTTTTATTACTTGTTTGCATAAAGGATGATCACAAGTACGTGTTGGCAACATTGCCCACTATGAGAAGTTGTAATGAGAAAGAGCCTGCAGTAATAGTAATACTATGCAAAAAATAATAGCATTGAGTACCTCACTAGATAGGTCACAGCCTAGCTTACGTATTACGTAAAATACTACTTTGGTAATCATCACTTCTTTTGAATGTAGTTACAGAGGCGTGTAGTTAATACTCACCTCAGAAGTGGGAACGCCGTATATGGGGGCGGGTGTTGGTGGTCGATAAGTTGGTCCTGGTGTTGGGGGACCGTATGCTGGTCCTGGTGTTGGGGGACCGTATGCTGGTCCTGGTGTTGGGGGACCGTATGCTGGTCCTGGTGTTGGGGGACCGTATGCTGGTCCTGGTGTTGGGGGACCGTATGCTGGTCCTGGTGTTGGAGCTTCATGGGAAGGACCATTAAATGTCGGTTGGTAATTCAGAGGAGCATCGGGGCGGGCCAAGGCTCCCACCACAAGAATGGTGAACAACTCAACCTGTTAATAATTTACTACTGTAATACATTATTAAATAATTTCTTTACAAATACTGTTTGATAATAAATACATCATGATTACAACCAGTAGGCAGGATATTGTCAATATAGTTAAAGCTGATAAGACACTGGGAGTGATTACGAAAATAGTTTAAAAATATTCTCCACTGAATAAACTGGTTGTGACTACTCTGGATAATAAGCTGATGTATTTAGCTTAAGCAACTTCTACTATGGAAGGATAACGTACACTGAGAGACATTCTTGAGGAGGAAGAAGAGTTGGACTGATGATCTGTGGATGAAGCCATCTGTTTATATACTTGGAGGATACACCCCCCTCCCCACCCCACAAACGTGATGACGTCACGGCCTCCCTAGTGAAGAAGACCTGGCCAAGGTTGACTCTTGTTTGTCTTACGTTAAATTGCCTTAAAGTGTAAGAATTGCTGCACCTTTCTACAGTAGTCTACGGAATGTCGGTTGCATGAGGGTCATTTAGGGTGTATATAAGCTGTTTTACAGCAACAATTCTTTAATGCCTTTCTATATTATATATGTCGTGCCGAATAGGTAAAACTGGTCAATTAGCAAGAATTCATTTAAAATTAAGTCCTTTCTAAAAATCTTCTCTTATACTTTTAAAGATATATTTTTTTTCATTTATATTAATGAAAAAATTAATAATTTTGTTCCAAAAGTACCTTAGGAAACTTAACCTTATTATAACAAGCCTAACCCAACTAAATATATTTCAGATATAAGTTTACAATAATTTAATAATAAACAAACATATGGAAAAATATATTTTTCGTTAAGATGAGAATGATTTTTGCGAAATTATTGCGTGCACAAATTTTCGCTTGCCTTATATGGCAAGATGAGTGTTGCTGTTTAAGCCAAAATCGCAAGTTTTATCTATATGGTACAGCATTACATATATATATATATATATATATATATATATATATATATATATATATATATATATATATATATATATATATATATATCATGTGTGTACATAAATACTAAATTTTTCTCCCTTACCACTCTCCTTACGTCATTCCACCAATCATTCATCATCTTTACTTCACTCTCCCTCCTATAACCACAATCATTCTATTATTGCTTTCTTCTTCTACATTAGTCACTCCTACTTTAGCATTTAGGTCACCCAAAACAATTATTCTCATACGTGATTCAAACCTCTAAAAATTATATTAATGCCTCGAAAATGTTTTGCCTTTTTCCTCCTCACTATTTTTAATCCCAGCTGCATAAACACTTGTCGTAACCCATTTCTCCCATCCCATTCTTATGCTCATCAAAATAATTCTTGGTTTAAAATCCTTGTAACTCTTTCCATTTCATAACTGCAGGAGATATTTTTTTTACACATCATGATTTGTATTCTAATATTAGTTGGGAGAAAAATTACTCCATATACAAACGCGGAGAACTCTCCTCTCCCCCCCCCCCCTCCCTTGTAATAAAAATTTAAGTCTGATATATTTACGAGTTTAAAATATATTTATTTTTTACCCTATTTATAGATAATTTAAATATTCTCGATTACCAGTTTTTAGTAATTTACGTATAAGATTAATTTTCTGAGAGTATTACATTTAACATTATGTGAAATCTAAGTGTCCTGTTCAGGCCCAGGAAACACTTCCAACGTCTGTGGGTAAACAAAAACTGTATGAATTTGTACACATATAAGTAATCTCTTTATGTGGGCTCGAGTGTTATATAAGCTGCAGGATACAATCCCTTCGTTCATGTGTAGACATTACGTTTTACCTGAGTTAAGCTGCAGTTTATCAAATATAAAATTGCTAAACCTCATAAGGAAAACGTTTGTTACCCCTTCGTACTTTTCTCGATGTTTAGGTCTTTAATTACCGTGTAATTTCTTCCTTATCACAGTGGTTTAGTTAAAGTTAATTGATATTAGAAATAGTGAAGAACAGGTTAGGTTAGTTACAACTGTGGTAACCGAGGTAAAATAAAAGATAAGATTATGCGAATTCATTTATTTACTGAGAAGTTGAAGTGTAATTTTTAACACTTTTTATTTACATATTTTAAACACAATTGGAAGTAGTTGTCAGCATAAGCTACTTAGGATATATAACCTTCGACTGGAAAATTCATTTCTAGATCAACAACCTGAGGAAGCACACCCATGTTTTTAAGTAAAGTGCAAATGACTAATTAGTAATGTTCTTTCCAACATTACAATAACATTATTCTCGTTTCAAGTGACTGTGTCATGCAATATTCTCTGAAAGGAAATTATGAAATGGGGCCCTGGATCATGCTTCAACTTACAGTTGCCGTTCTCTGAATTCTGAGGCAGATTAATTGGTCCCAATTCACTTTTCTCAAAGTTATATCAGCTAATGATATAACTTAGGATACGTTAACAATGATAAACTTTTCTTTCATCATACTTTGACTAAGTCTTCAACTGCCTTTAAATGAATTTTTAATTATACATTTTTCACTCTCACTTTAAGATAACATCATACTCATTCTCAGTTCTGTTACTATAACCTTAAATTCCGGTCTTTGATAACTTGGTGATGTGATTGTTTTACAATATCTTACTATGAACCTTATGTGACCCTGTTCCTGTCGCAAATTGATTTTTTATTGTAATACCTGTCTTCCAAGCTAATATTTGATCAATTATCTTTAATCTGATATAAAATCATTTATATAATTTATACTGTAAGAGCGGAGTCGACAATTTTTTCTATAATGCCAGTTATGTCATCCGTGATTGCCCCTTTCAGTCACAAACTTTCCAATTCTATTGTTTTTTTGTTTGTACGTGTGACTACAAATGAGTATACAGTTAAGACCTCGTTTACTTTTTCTAAAGAAATTTTACGAAAAGAAATTTTCAACAAGACAATTTCAACATTTGTACTCAAAAAGTACATCCCATGACAGCTAAATTAGGCATCAATAGCTTGGACACCCTCACAACAACACGTCCGTAATCCTTTGAGATTCTATTTAAACATTCTAAGGACCCAAGAAGTCCTGCCTCCTTCCAGGTGTGTACAGTACATGCTAATTGATACAAAATCCAAGAATCTTAAAGGAAATGCCCATTCCCTTCTTAATCTTTGTATGCTAAAGAGGACCAGTGTAGATAAAAATAGAGACAACAGTTCTTTTGTTTTCTTTATTTTTTTCCTAACGACCGTAGTTAGCAGATTCGACGTTGGTTCAATGATGTCTGATGATTCATCACTATTGGCACTCCACCTTAACCTGCTAGTCTTTCCTTTTTTAGTATTTCGTAATTATTTACTGTCTACTGCAATCAGTTGACAATGATCCAGTTAAATTAGACTATTTTCACAACTCTCAGTACAAAATAAACAAAAAAGAAAATTGTGAACTTATTTATTTTCAAATATTTCAAATATTTATTTTCCATTATACGAACAAACGTAATTTCATATGCTGTTGAGGGTGAGTAAAAGGACTAGTGTTGTGTGACAGCCGTACGTTCCTTGGGATCACTGTTGAATTAGCCATAGGCAGGAGTTGGAGAATAGTAGTTCAGGGGTGTGGTGTGACTTTCGTAGCCAGGAGCTGATGTATAGTAAGGTTGGGATGTGGTGTGACCTTCGTAGGTCACCTGGGCCACGTAGCCGGAGTCACCATTGACAGTGTACTTCACCCTCTCCAGACGACCGTCAGGAAGCAACACATAGTAGGAACCCTGAGTGTCAGCACCATCACGGGTTTCCTGTTGACCGTAGTCGTTGCCAGAGGCGTCGTCCTTCACTTGCCAGGTGAAGTTGTACCGAGCAGGAGCCTGAAGTAATAATGATAATGATAATAACATTGAGTATTTCACTAGAGAGGCCACAGTCTAGCTCATGTGTAACATAAAATGTTACGTTTGAAATTGTCACTTGATTGCTCTGAAAGTAGCTGTAGAGACATGTAGGTTATATTCACCTCAGAAGTAGGAACACCGTATATGGGAGCAGGTGTTGGTGGTCGGTAAGTTGGTCCTGGTGTTGGGGGACCGTATGCTGGTCCTGGTGTTGGGGGACCGTATGCTGGTCCTGGTGTTGGGGGACCGTATGCTGGTCCTGGTGTTGGGGGACCGTATGCTGGTCCTGGTGTTGGAGCTCCGTGGGAGCGACCATTAAATGTCGGTTGGTAATTCAGAGGAGCATCGGGGCGGGCGAAGGCTCCCACCACAAGAATAGTGAACCACACAACCTGTTAATTTATGTTATTGTAACACATTTATAAGTACATGATTGCAAACAGATGAAAGGAAGCTGTCAATATTGTTTAAGTTGATAATTCATCTTTTATCAAATATCTAGAAAGTAATTAAATTCTTAAAAGCTTTATAGGGAGTGATCACTAAAATCGATTATACATAATCTCCGTATAATAAACTGGCAGTTGTGACTACTAGATAAGTTGATGTATTTAGCTTAAGAACCTTCTACTATGGAAGGGTAACGTACACTGAGAGACATTCTTAAGGAGGAAGACGAGTTGAACTGATGATCTGTGGACGAAGCCATCTGTTTTTATACTGGAGGATACAACCCCCTCCCCACCCCACAAACGTGATGACGTTGCGTTCTCCCTTGTGAAGAAGACCCTGGCTAAGGTTGACTGTCTTACGTAAAATTGCCTTAAAGAACAATGTAATTGTTGCATTTTCTGCAAGTTTGTTGGATGATTAATTTGGTTTAGAACTTACCAAATGTTGATTACATGAGGGTTATTATGGCCGTCATTATGAACAGTTCTACAGCAATTAACAATACTTTAATAACTGTCTACGTTACACACACACACACACACACACACACACACACACACACACACACACACACACTCACACACACACACACACACACACACACACACACACACACACACACACACACACACACACACATACACACACACACACTGTGATGAGGTATCACAGTGGGCACCTTTGACGAGCGGGATCCCACAAGGGTCGGTCTTAGGATCAGTGCTATTTCTGGTATAAGTGAATGAAATGATGGAAGGGCCTAACTCAGAAGTGTCCCTGTCTGCAGTTGATGTGAAGTTAATGAGGAGAATTAAATCAGACCTGTACAGGCTGGACACCTGGTCCAGAAACTGGATTCTCGAATTTAACCCCTCCAAATGCAAAGTCATGAAGATCGGGGAAGGGCAAAGGAGACCTCAGACGGAGTATAGGCTAAGTGGCCAAAGACTGCAAACCTCGCTCAAGGAGAAAGATCTTGGGGTGAGTATAACACCGAGCACGTCTCTGGAAGCACACATCAACCAGATAACTCCTGCAGCATATAGGCGCCTGGCAAACCTGAGAATAGCTTTCCGATATCTTAGTAAGGAATCGTTCAAGACACTGTACATCGTGTACGTCAGGCCCATACTGGAGTATGAAGCACCTGTTTGGAACCCACACTTGATCAAGCACGTCAAGAAATTAGAGAGTGCAAAGGTTTGCCACAAGGTTAGTTCCAGAGCTAAGGGGAATGTCCTACTAAGAAAGGTTAAGGGAAATTGGCCTGACGACACTGGAGGATAGGAGGGCTAGGGGAGACATGATGACGACATACAAAATACTGCGTGGAATAGACAAGGTGGACAGAGACAGGATGTTCCAGAGAGGGGACACAGAAACAAGGGATCGCAATTGAAAGTTGAAGACCCAGATGAGTCAAAGGGATGTTAGGAAGCATTTATTCAGTCATAGAGTATTCAGGAAGTGGAATAGCCTAGCAAGTGAGGTAGTGGACCAGGAACTATACATAGCTTTAAGATGAGGTATGATAAAGCTTACGAAGCAGGGAGAGAAAGGACCTAGTAGCACTCAGTTAAGAGGCGGGGCCAGGAGCTGAGTCTCGACCCCTGCAACCACAGTTAGGTGAGTACACACACAAATTTTATATATATATATATATATATATATATATATATATATATATATATATATATATATATATATATATATATATATATATATACTTATATGTATGTATAAAGAGAGAGAGAGAGAGATTGCAATCAGCAGGATTCAAACCCACGTGTGAGGAGTGGCATAGCTCCATAATGTGGCGCTAAACTACGCGGTCACAGATATCACTAAAAGCTAGGTAGTCTGGTTATAAGCCATGTCTCTTCGTAGCCCCGGGCACACCAGTGAACCTCAGGCATGGTCTCCAGCTATTTCCTTCTGTGTGTTCTGACCACAGGAACGCTTTCATATCAGTGAGCCATGCAGAAACAAGCGGAGGTATATACGGAGAAATATCAGTCAGTAGGATTCGAACCCACGTGTTGGGAGTGGCATAGCTCCCCAAAGTGACGGTTTAGACTTAATGACACTACTCAGATGTTTAAAAACCATAGCTCTTGTGTTTACCCACAAACGTTGGGAGTGTATTTTCTGGCTGAACAGGGGACATGCATTCCAAATAATTTTAAATGAAATATTCCAAGAAAATTAAACTTATGCATAAACTGAAAATATTTAAATATATTTTTTTCACCTAATTATATTACTTATTTTTATTAGAACAGACGGGAAAAGAGGAGAGCTTTCCGTAGTTGATATGGACCGACTTTTTTTTTTCCCAAAAAAAATATGGGATGAGAATACATGATAGAAAACATTTTTTTTAGTTTTGTTTTCCCGTCTAAAAAATATCTCCTTCAGTTATGGAGTAGAAGGAGGAGTTATACGAATTTAAATTCAAGAATTATTGGATTAGCATAAAAGTGGGATGTGAGAAGTGGGTTATAGCAAGTGTTTATGCACTTGTGTTTGAGAGTAATTCAGAGGAAAGGGAGTAAATCAAGGAAAAGAATAATTGTTTTGAGTGACCTAAATTCTAAAGCATGAGTGACTAATTTAAAGGACACAGGATGTAAGTTCTGAGGACTAATCATGGGACCTCTAACTGAATTATGAATAGAAAGATGATTGACAATATCCAATACTTATTTTAAGAGAAAAGCATAAATAAATTATGAGACATGATACAGTGTGCAATAACAGCGGTTTTCTGGACTATGTATTGGTAAACAAAACTAATAAAAAGAGTAAATTTCCAGATATATTTAGAGGAGCGACTGTTATGATAGCTCCTTATTTAGTGTAAGTTTCAGTACGATCAATAAAGTAAATGGAATATATGGAGAATGGTGTCGTTGGGAAATAGAGAAATTAAAGGAAAAAACTAAATAAGGACACAGTTCGTGAGATATAAAAAAATGTTTGTGTAGAGGTAGAGTACAGGTAATAAGAAGGTTAAAAGAGGACAGCAATAGTGGAATGTGTAGCAAAAGTTGTTGGTTATAGGAGGATAAGTGAAGTCCTGAAGTCCAGTGATCTGTGGAATGATGTTAAGTAGGTGGGAAGGGAGAAAAATATATCACTGAGTCACATATATAAAAGTACACATACACAGACACACAGTCATATTTTTAATTAATTTTTTAACTGCTTTAAATGAATTCTTACATAATTATAAATTTTTTACCGTCACTTTAATTTTTGATAACATGATTCTCCTTTTAATTCTTTTACTTTGATCTTCAATTTCAGTCTTTGCCAAGTTCACGTGATTATTTTGTATTCTATATCTTACTACGACTCATTAATTGACCTTTTGCATTCCTGTTTCTTACTTATTTTTGATCTTAATACTTGTCTTTCTAGCTAATATTTGATCATTTATCTTTAATTTCATTCAAAATCATTTATACATCTTATAATTTAAGAGGCAGAAAGGATATTTTTTATAATGCTAGTTATGTCATCCGTTATTGGCTCTTTAAACCGTAAACTTTCTAAATTTCCCACATTTTCTCCGTACATGTAACTACAAATGAATACACAGTTAAAACCTCATTTACTTTTGTTAAAAAAAATTGTTTAAGGAAATTTTCGAGACAATTTCAACATTTGTAATGAAATACATCCCAGTACATAGCTTAATTAGGCATCATTAGCCTTGACATCTTCACATCCTGCTTTTAGATCTTAGAAGCACTCTGAGTGCCCAAAAAGTTCTGCCTTCCAGATATGTGCAACACACACTAACTGATACACTAATCAAAAATCTTAAAGGAAATGCCCACTCCTACCCTAATTCATACTTATTTTTCCCATGTAAATTTTATATGCTGAAGAGAACCAACATAGATGAATATACAGATAATTCCATTTTCATTCATTTTTTCTCACGATCGCGATCGCAGGTGGACATTAGTTAGCAGATTCGAAAGTGATTCAGTGATGTCTGGTGGTTCATCACTATATGTACTCCTCCCTAATAAGCTAGGCTTTCCTTTCTAGTATTTCTCAGTTATTTATTTATTTATTTACTGTAGTCTGCTCACAATGATCCAGTTAAATAATACTATTTTCACAAGTGTAAATATGGAAAAAAAACAAAAAGTAAAATTTTGAAATAATTTATTTTTCAAATGTCCATGTATTAAATCTTCATAATACAAACAAATGCGAGTTCATTTGCTGTTTGTTGATGAGAAGGACTAGAGTGTTGTGTGACAGCCGTACGTTCCCTGAGATCACTGTTGAGTTAGCCATAGGCAGGAGTTGGAGAATAGTAGTTCTGGGGTGTAGTGTGACCTTCGTAGGCAGGAGTTGGTGTATAGTAGGGCTGGGATGTGGTGTGACCTTCATAGGTCACCTGGGCAACGTAGCCGGAGTCACCGTTGACAGTGTACGTCACCCTCTCCAGACGACCGTCAGGAAGCAGCACATAGTATGCACCCTGGGTGTTGGCACCATCACGAGTCTCCTGGTGACCGTAGTCGTTGCCGGACGAGTCGTCTTTCACTTGCCAGGTGAAGTTGTACCGAGCTGGAGTCTGCAGTAATAAAAAATAATAACATATACTGAGTATCTCACCAGAGAGGCCACAGCCTTGCTCATGTGTAATATAAAATATTATGCTTGTAATTGTCACCTGATTGCTTTGAAGGTAGCTGCAGAGTCATGTAAGTTATATTCACCTCGGAAATGGGAACACCGTATATGGGAGCGGGTGTTGGTGGGCCGTATGTTGGTCCTGGTGTTGGGGCACCGTATGCTGGTCCTGGTGTTGGTGGGCGGTATGCTGGTCCTGGTGTTGGGGTACCGTATGCTGGTCCTGGTGTTGGTGGGCGGTATGCTGGTCCTGGTGTTGGAGCTCCGTAGGAAGGGCCATTAGATGTCGGTTGGTAATTCAGAGGAGCATCAGGGCGGGCGAAGGCGCCCACCACAAGAATGGTGAAAAACACAACCTGTTAATTTTTGTTAATGTAACACATGAATTCTTCATATATTTTTGTCTTCTAACAAATATATTATGATCGCAAGCAGATGGCAGGAAACTGTCAATAGTATTCAAGCTAATAAGACATCTATAAGATAACTACATTCTTAAAAGCCCTATAGTGAGTGATCAATACTACTGTGGAAACTCCTACTATGGAAGGGTATCGTACAC